GTAATAGTGGTAGTAGTTAATAAACATAGGAAGTAACAGTGTTTCTTTGCCTGACCTGGCTGGCCCAGGCAAGCGCAATCTCATCATATCTCGGAATATAAGCAGGGTTGGCCCTGGTTGGATGGGAGGCCACCAAGGAAGTCCAGGGTCACTATGAGAGGCAGGTGATGGCAAACCACCTCTGAACATCTCTTGCCATGGAAACCCCATGAAGGGTTGCCATAAGGCGGCTGCACCTTGACAGCACTCTCCACCACCACCACAATGTTTTACCATTGATTTTTGAGCATGGTGTTTAAATAAATTTGAGGTACAGATCTCTGGTGTTCATCCCCCTGAAGCAATTTCAGTAGGCAAGTGCCTAGCAAAGAGCATCCCAGAACCTGTGCCTTTACTTCCCCACTGTAAGCCTGGGATTAGAAAGACAGCCTCCAGCCACTAGGGGGCAGGCTTGGCCCCCACAATCTTTAGAAAGTAGCCACTAGAGGAAAGAGGAGATGGCCACAGCTACAAGGGACAAAAATGAGACAGCAGGAGTGCCCTGTGAAAGCATGCATGGGTCAGCCCATTCTTAAGATTCGGTCTAACCCAGAAATGCAGTTCCTCTATGCAAGGGTGTGTTTACTACCCTCCCACAAAATTCTGAAGTGCAGCAATGATCTCTCTAGCATTCCAATTATTTTCCTTGTTGAATGGAATTGCATGTAAGAAGCATTAAATACTCTGTTGTCCAAAAGGAGAGTTTTTCCAGGGAGAAGCTTGCAACGACAGGCATCCCTGAAGTCACATCTCTTCTAGGAGCTTGTCTGAGCAACAAGTCTTTTGATTTATTTTTAGAACACTATAAATTAAATGGACAGCTCCTCATTGGTTGAGTGAGCATCTGGTTTCTTAAGACAGGTACTGAGACAGCCTTTCCACTTCCTTATCCCAAATCTGCGGGGGGGGGGGGGGGCTGGCTGTTTCCCCACTTCTTAAGGGGTATTCTTCCTTATCCACCCATTCTTCTTTTTTTTTAAAAAAAAAAAAAAGAAAAATAGCAAGGAAACTAATATTGAGTTGACATGGAAGCAGGAACACTTTATAAACACACCCACCCATGAAACACCATATACCCTTCCCAGCGATTTTTTTCACACACCTTTGTAAAAGGGTAAGGAATTGGTTTGTGGCTGGGGAGGAGGGAATTCATCCTGGTTGCCAAGGCAACTGGGCCACTAACACCTCCTTGCCTCATCCAGCCCTGCATATACTGCAGGTGGGGCAGGACCGGGGGGAGGGGGGGTTGTCATTCAGACTTTCTCCCTCCACACAGCTTCACTTACAGAACTGCCCCAAATGATCATGGAGAGCTATGTGCAACTTGAGCTGAACTGAAGTGAGTCTCACCGGTTGATGCTGTTAAACAGCACAGAGGATCAAGGGAAGGAAGCATAAGCCCAATTTCCTGGGCAACAGCAGGAGAACAATGCCTGCAGAAAGCAACATTCGTACCCCTACCATTATGACAACCAAGTTGGTGGCCAAGGAGCCCTCCAAAGGGGTTGAGATTGAACAAACTTCCTCCATAAATACTCCTGAACTCATTTCACAACTGATATGCAGCAGCTTGTAAGTTTTCTTTGTAAGATAACACCAGGTAAGCATCTGCTTAAATACCATTTCCCGAGTCCCAGGAATCCAGGTATGCTTCACAGCAACATCCTAAACAGAGTTACACCCTTCCAGGTCCACTGAAGTCAACGGGCTTTGAAGGGTGTAAATTGATGCTCAGGGTTGTGCTGTCAATGTCACTGCTCAATTAAAAATCCCAGCAAAATTAAAAATAGTTTGCCTCCCAATTAATTTTCTCCCCAGGATGCAAAAGGTGACAACCCCGTTACATTGTGAAAGTTTTGGAGGACATTTTTTAATTCAGCCAGCCAAGACCAAAAAACAGAAAGGAGAACATTTCGAGAGCAGGGTGACAGAAGGACGAAGTGGGCTTTAGGGGAAAGCAAGGGAGACCCAAGAGGGTAACAAACAGAGCTACATTGCCAGAATGAATCCCCTTAATTCCAGATAGAGAGGGAAGGATTCAGCAGCCAGCAACTGAGCACCACAGGGAATCTGTAACAGGCATTTAAAGCTCAACTTGAGCTCTCCCCCCAAAGCTGGCAGGCAGCCCTTTTCATCCCAATTTGGTGGGCTAACTCAGCAACCCTGAAGCACTTCCTGGGTACCAGGAGACTGGCAGCCATCTGCATGTTCACAGAAGCTCCTTGCCAGCCTCACCCTCTGCAGTCAACTCCCATCTCTCTCTCTCTCTCTCTCAATGCAGCAGGGCCACCTAGTGCTCAAATGCAGAGGGGGGGGGGGAGGGACAGAGATCTCTGCCAAGAGTGCTATTTGCAGAATTCTCAGTTGATTTTCCTTGACCAAGGAAGTAAAGAACCTTTGACTCAGGGCCAACCCCGATGCTAAGAGGGATGTGCAGATGAGGGCATCATGCCGCCAACTATCCTCCACCCCTCTCTATTTCTTTGGCTACTATTCACACAATGGAAGAGGGAGAAACTCTCAACATGGTGAAATCACATACTTACTTCTACTAGATTCAAGACTGACTTCGGATGTAAAGGAACTTTTCTGCTTTGGCAAATTGGGTCAGGTATGGGACAGGGTGTGATTTCTCCTGCAGCGCAAGACTTGTTCCGGGCTGGCCAGCCTGGTGAGGTCCGTGACTGGCAAGCAGCATGAAGGCCCATGATCTACCAGGCCTGGCCTCAATGCCGAGAAGTCTCTTGACTGCCTGCCTTTACCTGATTAACAACTTTCTGCAGTTCAAGCTCCAGCTTTCAATTGGCTCCAGTTCCCCCAAAGAACAGCAGGGACCCTGGACTGGAAGATGCCCATTACAAGCCTGGCTTCAGGCATAGCCTCCTGTGCTGGGTCAGCCGATCACCATGGATACCATGCACTGGAAACTGGATACGCAGTCCAAAATCAAGTCGAGCAACAGAACCAAAGGTTAAGAAAGCTGAGAATCAGTCAAAGGTTGCAGGAGCAAGAAGTGGAGGCTAACAGCCAGTATCAGGTCTGAGCATGCACGGTTGCTTCCACGCTGAGGCAGGAACGTGGGGGTGTTTATGACTAGGTCCTCCCTTCCCTGGGAATCAATCTGCCGAGACTCCCAGCCCCTCACGTTGCCTTTGCAAGAGCTGCAGTCTGGCACTCTTCCTTCGCTCTTGCACATTCAGCCGCTGGTGTGCCCTGCTTCTGGGACACTCAGGAGAACTAGGTGGGGATTCTGGCCTCAGGGTGTCTCCGCCTGGGGGTGCTGGGCCAGGCTCTGGATCAGTCTCTCCCTCTGGCTGCACCTTCTGTGCAGCTGCTGGGGCCTCGTCTCCCTCAGGTGCTGTTAAGGGTTCCTCTTCTGGGCTGACTCCAGAGGAGGCTGGGTTGCTCCATGCCTCTTCCCTGTCTGAGGAGTCGTCAGCCTCAGCAGAGCCTCCCCTTCTGCTCCAGCTAGGTTTGCCAACCTCCAGGTCGGGCCTGCAGATCTCCAGGAATTACAACTGATCTGCAGACTTCTGAAATCAGTTCCCCTGGAGGAAATGGCAGCTTTGGAGGGTGGAATCTACAGTATTATAACCTGCTGTAGCTGGCAACCCTAGGCCCCCAGCTTAGACCCCAAAATCCTACACAAGTTACCTGGGACCACTGACACTTCCAAGTACCTATCTGTAAGTATCTTCTGTCTGGTCTTTTTGTCCAAACAAACTGGGTAACCAGCAGATCATTCCCAACTTCATTTCTAATGACTTATCACAGCTGTTCCCAAATGGCTTTTTTATGCAGCAGGGGTATTTCCAGATTAAAAATATTTGTGAACACGTGTCTAGTAAAAGCAATATATGGGGTTTTTTAGGGTTTTTTTTTGAGGGGGGAGTCTTGGGTACTAAAACCTGTTTTAGTACCTATCTATCTTAGTAGTAGCTTTGTATAGTAAAAAAGAAAAATTAAGTATTTTTGTCTTCTCACACCAAACAGATTCCGACCCCTTCAGACAGCAGGTGGTATTGTGGAAGGGGTAGCCAACAGATGGGATCACCCCACCCGACCACGCGTGCAAGTGCCCCTCACAATGGTCACCCCGACAGAAGCGTCTCATTGACAGGGAACACCACTCAAAACAAATCTGTCTGAGCAGAAGGGAGCAAGAGAGGAACCCTCATCATCAGAGAAAGGGGGAACACAAAAGGCTATTTACACAGGCCCAAGGGAAGCACAGGCGCGGCCAAAGCTACCCCATGGGAGTGTTGTCGCCAGTGCCCTGATCCCACCAGTAAACCCAGCACAGCACCTGCCAGAGTGCCTCCCCCAGTCACTAAGTATACCAAGAAAGTGGTTCCATTTCTGTCACTCGGTTCATTTCAAAAAGCAATTCATGCTGTCTCACAATGTTCTCACTATGCATCCACGTCAGTACCAGGAAAAGAAAAGAAAAACCTCTATGAGATAATGCCCTTTCTTGCAATCCAGTACTACAAAGCATGCAACCATCAATTTGCACAACAATCTGGCTGCAAATCCGGTGAACTGATCAGGACCAGGAAATAGTGAATTAAATCTCCCATTCCACCCCTGCTATGACCACAGCAGAACAAGCATTCTTGTAGGCTAAGAATGCCTCCTCTATAGGGGGGGGAAACACTGCTTGACAAGGGGCCTAGGCCTTGAACATAGACTCAGAATTATCCACTGACCCATGAATTCATGACAGTCTCAGACGCTGCACAAAATCCCAGGATTTTAGGGATCGTAGAAACATTATTTCAAAATCCTTCCGGCGCCACAGCACAACCAATGAAATATCAATAGCACCACCCCACAGTCATTTCCAGTTAAAGGTGCACTTTATTATGCAGATGCAAAAGTTGTTGCCAAGACTGCAAAGTGCACTTTTTTTTTCTTTCTGGTCGATCTCCATCCCCAGAAGAGGGAAGCCAAATCCTTACCTGGAAGTGCAAGATAATTGTCCAGATGAGCCCCAAGGTGAGCTTCGGGTTCCCATCTGTGATGTCATCATTGCGAATGTTCACCAGCTTCACCTAGAAGAGAACCAAAGTAAAGATGTTCATGAGCTGCCTCTAGTAGGGAGTTGGTGAAGGGAAGCATAATTAACCTGAATAAATCAATAAATGTGACATCAGCTGTTATGTACTGAGATGGAATGCTACCTAGGACCTTGACCAAGCTTGAGTAACCAAATAATAGACAGCCAGGATCCTGGAAGGAACCAATGAAGCCAGAGTGGGAGTGTAAATAGCCTATCACTGTCTCTCTTTGTGTGTGTGTGTGTGTGTGTGTGTGTGTGTGTGTGTGTGTGTGTGTGTGTGTGTTGGGTGCGGCGTTGGGTGCACATTTAAGCAGGGCTGCGGTCCTGCTGAGGTTGTCTTAGAGTTTAGCTGAAATCACTAATAAACTATGAACTGATCACTCAACACGTCTGAACCCAGTATATTTCATCAGCCCAAGCATTTTCTGCAGCCTCCTCACTTACATCAAAGGCTGGAGTTAAATGAGCACAGGAAGCAACACACTGGGCAAAAGTTAGGTCCATGCAGTCCAGGACTCTGACTCCAGCCATGGCCAGCCTCTGGGAGCTCACAGGGAGACGGCTGGGTGGCCATGGACTTGCCCTCGCTTGCCTCCTCATTCCAAGCCAGATAACCATCTGGGCCTCTCTGGTAAAAATTGTCCAAGGCCTTGCCCAGGCCTGCCACTTTATAAAGTCTCTTAACTGGAGACCATTTTAGATTCAAGTCCAGTAGCACTTTAGAGTTCAAAAGATTTTTAGGGTATAAGCTTTGGAGAGTCGACGCTTTCTTCGTCAGATGATGGGATTTGACAAAGGAAGGTTTGACTGTCAAAGGCTTATGCTCTGAAAAACGTCTTTAGATTTTGGGGGGGGTATTTTTGGAATTGTTTGTGTGCGTGTGTACATGTGTGCCTGGGCCTGGAAGTCATTGTGACCTCTGGCAACTATTACTAGGACACGGAGGACATTCAGAGAAGTGGCTTGACAACCTGCCTCTGCCTCCCGGCCCTGATATTCTTTGGAGGCCTCCCACCCAAATACTTGCCAGGGTCAGCCCTACTTAGCTTCCGAGATCTGACAAGATCAGGCTTGCCTGGGCTATCCAGGTCAGATGCCCTGAAAATCTTGTTAGTCTCTAAGATGCTACTAGACTCCGTTCTACTGCAGACCAACACAGCTACCTTGTGAAATTTAGGGATGTCAGGGATTGCCCCCAAGATCCTTGGGGTTGGATAGAACTACTCTGCTGCCTAACTGGGCTTCTTTCTCTGCAGAACTCACAGACACTTTGAATACTACAGTTCTTATAGACATTATTAGTTGATCTTCTCTGCAAAGGTAGTCAACAGCAATGTACCTGGACCAACAGGGCCAACTGCCATCAGCAGACATCCCCTCCCACACCCCACCAACTTGTCTAACCCTCTTTTAAAGTCAACAAGGTTCATAATACTAAACCTCAGCTGCCACCCCACCTCCCCTGACCATGTCGAGGTTGCAAATTCCCTCTGTTTAAATTAAGTAGGACCTGAAGAAATTATTTCTTTTGCTGGTCTTAACTTACTGGCAATCGATTTCACTGGACAACTTCCGAGTTCTGCTTTGTTTTGTGAGAGAGAATACAGTTCGTTCTCTCTCTCTCTCTCTCTCTCTCTCTCTCTCTCTCTCTCTCTCTCTCTCTCTCCAACCCTTCCTGTACCTTCATAACATTTTGTAAACCCGGACCGGAAGTAGGTACGGCGCGGCGACGGGCGGCTTCTCGGGCGCTCCAAGAACGCCCAATCCTTTAACGTTCTTTCAGGGGACCCCGGGGAGACCTCGGTGGACCTCCTGGAGAGAGGACTATGCAGGGGACTCTGTTGCGGCCCCTCCCGCTCTTGGCAAGGCGGGGGGGTGACCGCTTCCTGTCCCGAAGCCGGAGCATTTTATGGAGTAGAGATCGCTCTACACAAGCTGCAACCATCCTTTTTTACCATTTTTGAAACTGAATTTCAATATGGGATATAGCAAGGACTTTGTAAGTACACGTCTTTCTAATCTTTAATGGTCTGGACATCGTTCGGCAAGCTACCCTTTGATTTTTGTGCCCAAGATGGAGGTGTATGAGCGGCCAGAGAGAGAAAGAGGCAAAGGAATATAATGGATGGTTGTTGTTTTTTTCTTGGGGTTTGAGAACTTTGTAGGACTTAAATTTCTGCTTGAATTGTTGGACAAATATTGAAAGTGGATGTCACTAAGTAGAAGTAACTTTATTCGAAGTAACTTTATTCCTAAAATGGCATTGTCAGCTGAGTCAGAGAAGGAGGACTTTGACAATGATACTTTGGTAGGAGAACTTACTTTGGATCAATTTATGAAGGTATTGAGGGAGGAAATTCAAAAAGGCATCAGACAAGCATGTGCGAATGTGATTGGAAATTTACAAGTGGCACTACAGGACAAAGAAAAAGAGAGAAATGAAGAGGAATTAATGCAGGACGGTTGTGATATGGGGGAACAACAGGCTGGCGGTTATAAAGGGACCTTTGTTAATACCCAGCCTGTCCCATTGATTGAAGCAAAAACAAAGAGGAGGGGTTTGTCATATACAGAGACAGAACAAACAAAAAAAGAGAGAGAAAATATGCCTGATAAGGAAGGGAGAAATGAAAATAAGAAGAAAAGGAAAAAGAGATCAAGACAAGATGTATGGAAAAGTAGGTTTGAAAAGACAATTAAGAGCATAATCAGGTGGAAATATAGAAGATAAAACGCTGATATAAGATCACATATAGCTAAACAAAACAGAAATGGGGGTTTACGGAAGCGAAATAAAAAGAAAACAAAGAGATTTAGATGACGTTCGTGGAAAGACGAGAGTGGAAACACAACTTGGGACCCAGTTAGATGGAAATACAGAAGAAACAATCCAGAAACAAAACTACAAGCATGCAAAGAGAAAAGTCATGTGGACTCATTGGAACAGGGAAAGCAAACTTCAGATTTATAGGAAAAAAATAAGCTGTATGAAGTCTGAGGGGAGTAAATATATATATATATATATATATATATGATTTTTGTTGGAAAAATAAATGGATGGCCTTGATGTATTTTAAAAGCAATGAATTTCTCTTTATGGTTAATCACTTATTTATGCATGTAGGATGGGAGCAATGTTTTGGTAATATAAGTGGAATGGGGAAGGTCACCCCCCCCCCCCATTCTTAGCTTTCATGTAAATTATTCTGTTTCTTATTATCATGTGTTGTCATTTTGGGATTGACATTCATTTTATTTAGCACATGTTCTTTACAATGTATTTCATTTCCTTCAGGTTCAAATAAAGCTTTTTTTTTTTTTTTTTGTTTTTTCCCCCCCCCCCCCCCCTCTTTTCTCCATACATTATTTTGTAGTAGTTAGAGTATAGGGGGGAAGAAAATTATGAGTCAGATTTAAATGGGGTTTTAGACATTTAGTGTAATATGTTTCATGGATTTGTGTTGGAAATGAAGTTATAATTCTATTGTACTGTAAAATTGATTATTTGGTTTATATGCCTAATGATTAGCCTTTATAATTCAGGGGTGTAAGGTAATTTTATAATAAATTCACAGGGAAAAATAATGTATTAAATGTGGGAAGGAAAAATAATGAATAGGCTGTAGTTTATAGAAAGACTAGAAATAATGCCCGTTGTGGAAATAAATACAACGGGATCTAGAAAGAGGCTCTGGGAGAGTGCTCTGGCTTTAGTCAAACAGTGTCAGTTTCCTGTGGCGACCTAAGCAGGGTCCACTAAACAGTCCACTGTTTTCTCCAGAGGGACTGATCTCTGCTACCTGAAGAGCATTTGTATGTTTGAGTTATCTGTAGCCCTCACCTGGAGAGTGGTAACCATTGTTACCCATTCTCCTCTCCCCTATGAGGTATGTTATGCAACTGAAAATCCCAACTGCCTTGCGGGGGGGGGGAGTTTGAGGTGTGGAATGGACTGAAGTCCAATCAGCTTCCATATGCAAAAGACCAGGTTGTCACAGCAGTTGTGGTGTGGGCAGGACCCGGGCTTTGCCTTCTGATTGGTGGCAATATATGCTGAGGAGCAGTGCCATCAGCCATACACTAAGGGAGTGCATTTTAGAATTAGAACTTTGGCACCCACTATTCAATTATATATAAGGAGAGATAGCTTGTTTGATGTGTGGGTTATATTGGATTATATTGGGAGAAGGAATGGATCTTGGTCTACCCTACCATAGATTACTTTATTTATTGTATAGAGGTGAAATTAGTAGGTTAATTATGTGTGTTAAGGTTTTTTGGGTGAATAGGGAATAAAACCTATAGTTAATGTTTGTTATGAATGCCTAATAGCTTAAAACTTGAAAGAAGGTAATTATCAAGTGGAAATTGTAAGAATTTCAAATGGAGAGTCTAATGTCTATAGAGAAAGGAGGAACTAAAGAGTACAAGAAGCAAGTTAATAGATATTAGTAAAGTTAGAAAGGCGTACATAAAATGTTAAATCTGTGTCTTTAGCTTTTATCCCTAAGAGGTTAGTGAAAATGATGGTATATTGATTTATTTGTATTCATAAATGCTAATTAGAGTGTATGTGATGTATATGTGGCATATTGAAAACCCAATAAAAGGATCATTCAAAAAAAAAAACATTTTGTAAACCCATTATGTCCTCTCACCACCCCCAATTTGTCTTTTTCACTGCTGCTGTTTTGAATCTCCTCCCAGCCACAGTAGTGAAAGATGGCATTGTCTGAGTATATTTTCAATCTGTAAAGTTTCCCAAGCAAGCAGTAAACCCACAGGTGTGCATGGGTTAGGGTTGCCAGCTCTGGGTTGGGAAATACCTGGAGAATTTGGGGTGGAGTTTGGGGAGAGTAGGAGTTGAGGGGGAGGGACCTCAGTGGGGTACAATGCCATAGAGTCCACACCTTCCAAAACAGTCATTTTCTCCAGAGGAACTGATCTCTGTAACTTGGAAACCAGTTGTAATTCCAGCAGATTTCCTGCCAC